TTTAAGCTTAGTAAGATAGATTAATTAATAAACGTATATAATCATTGCAGGAACAAAATAAAATGTGGAACAAATGAGCTCCTAATGTGATTTTTAAAATAACATAATCTATATACTAGTATGAATACCGTGTGATGCACGGATAAGAAATATTCATTAATATTAATAAATTAAAAATATTCATTGCATAATATCTATAAATTTAAAATATAGAATCGATACGTAAGCAGTTTACCTATAATAATTTATTGAAAATGTTATATGAAAATTAAATTGTGCAAAATTACATAAAATATGTCTATTTAAAATTAGTAAGCAACTCGTACGCATATAATTTACAATTACATTATATTCATTTCAGAATAAGTAAATTTTAAATATTTGATTCAAAAAACCGATCTTACTACAATGTGATTCCATAAAATAATTATTTTGGTATTTTATCATACATTTAAAAATCTAAGCAAATAATGAGTATAATTATAACGTTTCATGAATTGAATGAATTTATTTTTGTATAAGCTATCCAAATAGAAAAAATATAGTTAATTGAGTAATTTAATAAATTATAAATAATTGATTATTCTATTCATATCCAAGTTAATATTGACACGTAATTTTTGAATAATTATTTATTTGACTTTTAAATTTAGAACCCAAAATTAGAATACACAGTAAATTCCCTTATATATTTCACACACACACACACTATCTCACAAATTTCTAGATTTGTTGTCGGTTATCTTATCGTTCAAATTTATCAACTAATTATCTATAATATAATATAAATTATAAATTTTATTAACCAATATTTATTCAAAGATCTTTCTGATTTTTATGAGGAATACATACCAATTTTCTGAATTACCATCAATATTTTATGGCAAGTTATTAAGAATATATACTAAAATTTGAAAATCATATCATCTTGATTATAACAAATCATCCGAAAATTCGACTTTCATATCCATACCAAATATAATTCATACCACTTATTTTGTTTTTAAAATTTTCAAATACACTTCTATCCATACCATTTAAATTCGGACATTTCATACCAAAATAAAATCACACACTTTATACCATAAAATCAAAATTCATTACTAACACATTTTCTACAAAAAAATATCATCAAATACCTCAAATAAAATCGCCCACTTTATATCAAAACCAAGATTTATTAATTTTGCCGATTTTATATAAATTAATTAATAATTTGTAGAGGCGAGATTTTTTAAAAATTTTCAAAAAAGATTACCATGTTTAGATTTATGTTTTTAGGTGGAATTTTTAGTTTATATTTCAATAAAATAAAACACACACACACATATATATATAAATATATGCCATTTTAATTCTTAACTAATAGTTTTATATATAATGTACATCGATCATATTTTCAAAAGAAAAATTGTGCTAGAGTTGAAGAAAAACGTGATTTGAGTCGCAATATACATCAAACTTGTACATAATATATATTACTTTGTTATTTAAATTCAAAATAAGATTGGATCTATCATCATAAGTTAATTCAATATTAAGCCTGGTTTTAGGCAACATGTAATTACTAAATATGTTATACTATTTCCTTTCCTTTTATCATTTAATTTTTTCCATTATATGTTACTAGTGCGTACCCCGTGCGATCCACGAATAAACAATATGACTAGCATATAAAATTGTATTATCACACATACATGATAAATCTACATCTTAAGTTCATACTTTGTATTTTCTAATGGGATAACATCCTTCATTAGGGATCATATGTATTTAATATGTCCATATCTACATATCGACAATTTAAATTTTGAGTTTGAAGATAACCAGAATATATGATTGCATAATATCGTTTAATAATTAAATCAATCGCAACTTCATGATTTGGTATTTTAAAATTTAGAAAAAATAAAAAATCATTAATTTATGGGAGATATATGATAAATCTATTTAAGTCTTGTATACATCACGTCTTACATTTAAAGCAATGTAAACATGGAAATTAAGATATTTTGAATCTCTAATTTAAATAAAGACCGTAAAAATTTGATTTGGTATTTTGATATAAAAAAAAAATCATCAATGTAGGGGATGATATGTGATAAATCTATCTAAATATTGGATACATCACGTTTTACAATTAAAGCAATTTAAATATGGAGATTATTCTTATTTCGAATCTCTAATTTAAACAATGACCATGAAATTTTTTATTGTTTCAAAATTAGAGTTGTGTTTATTTTTCATTATAAATAATTGTCAAACAAAATTATTGAATCAACCACAACTTTATTTTCTTAATTGAAACTGCTCAATTTGATTGTTAGAAAAAATGTTTTCAAAAGAAATAAACAAATGTTTTTTTTTTTAAATATTTTTACCCTTAAATCAACCGTAATTTGTTTTATTAAATAAAACCTACTAATCAAAACATATTGTATTAGGCTATTAGCCGATTATATAGAAAAAAAGTTATTGATATTTTTAAAATACAAAAGTATATTTTTATGGTTAAAAAAATAGCACGTAATTTTTTTTATTATTAAATCAGTTGTAACTTTTTTATTAAAAAAAGATGTCAGACAAAACAAGTGTATTAGGCGAATACCTGGTTTTAAATTTGGAGAATATAATTGCTCGATGTTTAATTGAATTAGCAGTCGTGACGTACATTTATATTCAAATTTAAAAATAGCTTGTTGTAACCAATAACCAAATCTAATTGATGCAATCTGTGCATTATCATCTTTTGATATGCTCATCGTGTCAAACCATCACAAATATTCAATAAACTAAATCTAAATAGCAGCCCAACTTTTTTGAAAATAAAAAGTAACAAACTCCTCATTTTAAGGACAATATTTTAAAAAATATTAAAAAGATACTGTAACGCCCCGATTTTATTTCAGTAGACATCTCGAAATATTATTATATTATCCATTTTATGGCATTTTATTTTCTCAGCTCGACCAGTAAATTTGATTAATTAGACGGGAGTGTCTATTTTAATCATTTAAGATAAAATAATTTAATTAGACATTGTGGTCTATTTAAATTGTAGCCGTCTTCAAGATCGTTGAATTATTTTCTCGACTTCTTAGCAATTATTGAGACCGAAAATCAACATTTCTGTTCCAGCCCATTAAGCTTATATTTTTCGGTCATCTTTGTTAATAATCGCCATGTGTTGTTTTGAGGTCCCAATTTCTATTTGATTAAAAATCAAATAATGTTTCTGGATAAGTTTTTGGGGATTATAGATCCGCTTTTCTGTAACTGTATTCCTCTCCCAGCCTTTGCGCACGTTTAATCTTCTAGATTAGTGGGAGTTTAAAATTTTTCTTCCAACCACCTCAGATATTCTCTCTTCAAACAACGTTATATTACCTTCTCTCTCTCACGATTTGAAGCCACACGATCAGAATTCTTTTCTCCCTCCCAGAACTCATTTTTCTCTAGCTGAAACGTCATCTTAGCACCTTATACCGTCGCTATCACCATCGCAACTCATCCCAGCTTTTTACTAACGAAAATTCCAGCCTTCCTCATCAGCCCGTCACAGCCTTTAACCTCCGCCGGCAAAGCGATCAGCAGCAGAGACGCCATCACCCACCTGCGGGAGGAACTCGCGAGGAGCAGCAGTACCCCGTCGGCTTTGTTTCAGCGTCCGAGCAGCAACAACAATCCCCGTCCTTGAGCGTAACTGCAGAGATCCGGTTCGAGCAGCCCCGTTCGTTCGATTAGCATAGCGGATAGCCGTCGTAAGAGCCGAGGCCGAAAACCGACGTCCGAGACTGTTCGTTTTCAGATTTTTCGTTTCCGTTTCATTCCCGAAGGAGGTATACGGCTTAACCTCCTTTAATATTTTCGAGTTATTCTTGAAGGATTAGTTTAGGACTTATGGTTCATGCTAGAATTATTTAAGGAGATTTCATGAGAATTTATGGATTTAT